GAAAACACTTTTTTGAATAATTCAAAACGTATCAAAGTTTTACATTTTGCACAACTTCTGATCACGACAGATGTTTTATGGTTAAAATAACACAAAGCATAAAGAGGTTTGATTGCAAATAACCTTAAAAAGGACAACATCAATTAAAAAAATACTAACAACAATAATAATAATTGTTTGCGACCTAATAAAAACATTTATGAGTTTATTTGCCGGCTCTAACCCATGCAGTTTTTCCTCAGCCCGGTTCGGTTGAGCCCATCACCGCCTCTCCTCACAAACACATCAGGCTCAGGTTCAATCAGTAAATTGTAAAATATCATTTCTGACGGGAAGAGATTTCGTTTGTTCCACTGATCTCTCTCCTACTAATTACCCAAATGGACAGGAGCTGTCAGGAGACAATAACTATTCCCTAATAGAATTTGCCCCCCAAGTGCAATTTAATTTTCTCCTCGGTGCTCTCTCCTAAGGTTTCCCCCCTCTGGCTCCCTGCCTCTCCTCCCTCTCCCTCTGTAGCCCTTCTTCTTTTTTTTTTTAAATCGGAACCAACGCTGCGGGACAACACGCTCCTGCCTGCAGTGTTTACCTGAAATGTTTCAGTCAGCTGAAGCCGGAAGAAACGTGTGGAGCTGCTGCTGCTCGGCTGAGGGGTTCGGGAACATCCTGCTGGAACCAGGCTCGGAGAGGAAGAGGAGGAAGAGGAGGAGGAGGAGAGTGGGACACACTTCAAACTGATGGAGTTCATTCGCTAAGTTTTGACACGTGCACCTTGCAGAAAGAGAAGGTAAAGGTCATTTGTGCGCAAATTAAACGCGCGCGCATTCATCCTATAGATGACTTTTTTTGTTTGAATGTGTTTATTAGGTTGTACCAAACCTCTGTTAATACGCTGCGATGCAAAAGAAACGACAATAGCAAGGCCTGTTGCGCACGTTATTTTTTGCGCACACGTAAAAACAGCCGCACCTCCGCAGGGTGTCTGATGATTCGAGTCTCTGGACTTCATGGCGTCCCTGCAGAAAGCTGGATCTTTGCGTTTCAGTTGTCAATGAGCTCGTGCACTGAAATATTAGATCTAATTAGAGGCGGTTGGGTCAGCGCTCGTGCCAGAGAAGTCACCCTCTGCTTGAGTTATTATTGTCCGACAGCTGCTGCTTCCGGGACACGTTATTATACCGTGTTTTAAAAAACGGGCCACTTTCTGTGAAAGTGTATTTGCCATCCTCTAAAAATAAAT